TGCAGCCACAGAAGGGCACAACTGTGACATCCTTTTGGAGCACTCCTGGTCCCCCTGCCTCCCAGTCTGGCCAACCCTGCACACCCCCAGTCCTCCTGAATATCCCCTATCACGGCACTTGTCACACAAGGCTGGCATTTGTTGTCTCTAGGTCTGTCCTTTCTGCTTGGAATAGATCTCTCTCCCAGATGCCTGGCTGGGTGACAGGTAGATGAAGGGTTTGGGGATCTTTCGTCCTGGAACAGCAGGCATCCTTTAGAACCCTGATGGGCAGGAGGAGTCTCTGTCCCTCTGTGTGCCCCCAGTCTCAGTGGAATATAGTGGCCAGGCCAAAGGATTTGAGAGTCCTCCCAGATGAAGTTTGTTCTATGAAGGTGGCTTCCTTCTGAGATCATTATGGAACCACATTGCGTGGCCATTCCTGGGGGACAGAAATCATGCTACTGTATTGTATTCTTCTTGCACACTGTGGCTAACAAAGAGGAAACACACACTCACACTCACAAGTTCACTCTTACACCTCCATTTCTGAGCATCACTACAATAGAAACCACACTGAATTCCCATTGGGCTGCAGACCCATAGCCGTGCCATTCCAGGTGTACATAGAGGAGGATGGAGATGGCGTTCTAGCTGAAAGGATGGAAGTCCTTGATTCTGGGGGTGAAGAAATTAGATTTTACCCAGAAGGTGCTACGTTCTACTAAAAGAAGGGACATGGTCCTAGGATCTTTGAGACCAGAGATTGGCACAGACTTTTCTGGGAAGTCTTCTGTAAAGATTTTCTGTCAAGTGCTGCAGTCCATGTGGCGTCTCTGACAACGACTCCTCTCTGGCATTGTGCCTTGAGAGCAGCCACCGACCGTCCATAACTCATGTACCAGACACACTGGACTGAGAGAATACAGGTGAAGGTCTCATCGGGCCCATGGGTGGTAGTTTCCCCACACTCCAGATGTGCAACATGATGGATGATGGGGGAGAAGGCTCTTCTTTTCCAGTGGCAGAGTGGGAATACACTGGGATCTACCCTGCCTGACCCCAGTCCCTCCATTTGAAAATAAGATGGGGGGGGGTGCCTGGGTGGCTCAGTGGGTTAAAGCCTCTGCCTTCAGCTCAGGTCATGGTCCCGGGGTCCTAGGATCGAGCCCTGAATCGGGCTCTCTGCTCAGCAGGAAGCCTGCTTCCTCCTCTCTCTCTCTGTCTGCCTGCCTCTCTGCCTACTTGTGATCTCTGTCTGCCAAATAAATAAATAAAATGTTTTTTTAAAAAAAGAAAATAAGATGGTAGTGAGATTGGCCAAGAATTAAGGCATCAGGAATTTTCTCACCTTTCTCTGTAGGCCTTGAACTTGCCACAAGATGTTTGTCTGTGGCTGAATTCCATGTGGGTATTGTTTGGGTGAGTATGTCCACATTGCCTGGTGGGTATATCTTGTGGGTTATATAGCACACAGATGGTCATCTTGTTCAGGACAAGATCATGAGCACCGTTAGGGTTCTCCTGAGTTGGTGGAGGATCTAGCATGTGTGAGCTTCAGGACAAATCCAATCCAGCCCTCAGCAATGTTATGGAGCACCTGGCTTCCGGGGCCCTCTGTGGCACTGGCGCGGGCCTGGCCTAGGCCACTTCTGCGTTGTGATGGAAAAGCCCCTGGCCTGGGTGGTCCATCCCATGCTTGGCTCTGCAGGCTGAGACCCAAGGTTCCTCCCACTTCATTGGCTGGGACCAGGTCATATTCCCATGGATGAGCACATCCCTGGACCCAGGGAGTGGAGCCATGGAGATTGGCACCGGTTGTTAGGACCTCTGTTGTAATGACTTTTCTAATGGCTGTGGTGGCAAGATCTTCTGGGATACATCTGTTAAAATGAATATTAATTTCTGATAGTAAGTGGGTCCAAGGTGCTGGCTTAGCACCTAGCACATCAGTCTCAGCACCTCGGAACTACTGTACTGCTCTGCAGAGACAATGGCTGAGAATGAGCAAAGTGGATGGAAACGGGTCTGGAGTGCACAAAGGAAGGGTATGTGTGCTTAGGAGGTTGGGGATAATAGCTCTGGCCAAGCTGTACCTCCAGTTTACCTAGGTTCAAGAAGGTGTGGGGAATCCGTGGTGTTTCACCATCTATAATTTTCAGATGAAGAACATGCCTTCGCATGGAGTCTGGCAAGACTGGTTCCAAGTGTTCTCTAGCTGGTGTGGAAGTCAGGGAGAGCACTGCCCTCTGACTGCTAGGAGAGGCGTGAGAGGCTGAGTGCTCTCAAGAAGGTGTCTGGCTTTTGCAGGGCTCACTGTGAGCCTTCATATAGGACTGACAAGGACGGTTCATGGTTTTGTTCTGAGGATGGAGTATTGGAAGAATGCGGTGTCCCATGTGATCCTGGGAAGGGGACAGACCTGGAGTCCACTGTAGAGTTACTTCGTGGGAGTGGGGGTGATCTGCAACATCCGCTTCATGAGACATCTGTCCTATATTGAGTTCTGGGTGTGCTTCTGTGCTTCTGTGACTTTGTCCTAATGGCTGGGATTTCCAAGGGGTGGGATTTTTTTGGCTTCACTTTAAGAGTTGGTCTACTGGAAGTGGGCAAGTCCCATTCTGCTGCTGAGAAGTGTGACTCTAATGGTGTCGCGGCCGGTGCGACGACATGAGCAGGGTCGAGAGGGTAAGAGAATGGAGAAAGAATAAGACTTGTAAAGAAATGAGGACAAGAGGGACACAGTGGATGATGTCCAAGCAGTGCCAATTTTATTCAAGGCTGTGAGACATCATATAGCTAACAGAAACAATTATAAGGAAGTATCTATTTTCAGTTGATTGCTCATACACATGTAACATTCACATGAAACCCCTCAAGCTTTTACGAAGCCCATTTCCCAAGCGCTGGTAGCGGATCTTCTGACGCCAGTAACTTTTGTCTACTTAGCTAATCTTTAACTAGCAATTCACGAGCTTACAATGGTGCAATTTATAATCCGCGCAAGTACAGGGTAATCTTGTAATAGTTAAATGTACAACCCAGTTTTGCCTCTTAATACATGCAGGCAGTCACGTCAGCGAGTCTTAGGGTCCATAGCTCAGGCTCTTTCTCAAGCGCAACTCAACTGATATTCAGGAGGCACGAGTCAGGGCCTGGTTTGATCCCTCACCTCTAGCTGAGTCCATGGCTGCCTACAAGTGGCTGGAGTGTGTATTACAAGATTAGAGGTCAGTGGTGAGGTGGTTACAGTGGTCAGCAGGCCATTGCTATTGATGATTTTTATGGGAGAATTCCATAGGATGAGATGTTATATCTTATGGTTAGGGATCCTCATTAAGTGTCCATCGAGGGTGCTTGTTCTGAGTTTCACATTCAATATTTTTGTTACTTCTAATAGCCCTTCTTGTACTTGGTATTCTAAGAAGCAGTGCATTGCAACAGTGCCTGCATTTTACTCATGTGTTGGTGAGGATTTGAGATGGAAAATGTTGTCAGTGCTTCCACAAATTGTACACTGGAACAGCCAAATAATAAAATTTTATTTTTTGACACAAAATAGGAAGTATCCTGCTGTGATTCTTAGTTTAAACCAGGGGAGGGAGGCTTATTTTGGTACTGGTAATGAGTATGATAGACCTTCCCAGGGCACATTATCAGGTTCTATTAGAAACTTGGACTTAGTTATTGTGGAAGAATCAGGAATCAATCAATTATTTGTCTCCTATTTCATTTTCCATGAACATTTCCACAATATTTGGTTTCACAGCTCTACCATTGGGAAATCATCCCAACTTTGGCACCAGCCTGCCCTTCTCTGCTAAGGGTATGTTTGGGCCAAGAAGAACATAAATTCTGGGTGATTGGAAAACTGTAGGATCCGAATACTATCGGTAGGGAGTTACTGGGTCCCTAAATTCCAAACCAGCTCCTGACACCCAGACAAAATACATTTCAGATTTAGAAACTTCAAAGAGAAATTTTGTGTCCACAGTGACAGCTGAAGAAAATGTGTCATCCCTAAACCTAACCTTAACCCCTAACTTGAATGTTGAAACCTAACCTGACTTTAAAGCCCAAACTGGAACCCTGAATCTTAAACCTGAAATGGAACCCGAAGCCTGGACTTTGAACCTGAGCCCTGGATCCAAGCCCTGAACCATGAACCCAAGCCCTAGCATGAACCCAAACCCCAAATTTGACCTTGCACTTTATCTCCTAAGCCCTAAGTCTTCAATCCTAAATCATAAATCTAATGCCCTAACCCTAACCATTCCCTTGTCCCTCACCCTAAATCTTCACCCCGATCCTAGACCCAGACCTGATCTAGAACTCTGACTGGAACCTGAACCTGCACCCAAATTCAAACCCTTCACCACACTTTGTTTATGCATCCACAACTGATGGATATTTGCATTTTCTACATTTTGATTCTTGTGAACACTGTTCGGGCTGGGGGCTAGGGTTAGGGTCTTGGATTGGGGTCAGGGCTAGGCTTGAGACCAGGTTGAGATCAGAGTGTGGGTCTGCATCCAGGGTCAAGTTCGGCGCCACTCTTTGGGTCAGGGACTGTTGTCATTCCATATTGTTTCCAATTCATTGTTCCTTAGCTATTTTTTTAAAGGTCAGGAGGATATTGGGCTCCATTCAGCTTGAATTTCCAGAATGAAATGACTTCAGCTGGACCCCGGGAGGGAGCAGGTGCTTCCACTGAAGGGTGAGCTCCCCTAGTCCTGCACTGCCCTCCATCACCTGCAGAGGGCGCCGGACCCCACCTCCGGCCCTGAGCCTGGCCTGCGCAGGTGCCGCTGGGACAGGAGCCCGGCCTCCTCAGGACTGGCTGTCGAGTCTTCTAGAGGACATGGGACCGTTCCCACACTGACGGGACCTGCTGTGGAGGCTTTGAGGGGTTATGGGTCCGCTTCCACACCAACAGGAGCCTGGTCTCCTCAGGACCCGCTGTCGAGACTTCCGGGGGATGTGGGGCCAAGTCCACACCAAGAGGACCCGCTGTGGAGGACGTGGGGCCGCGTCCACACCGACAGGACCCGCTGTGGAGGACGTGGGGTCGCGTCCACACCGACAGGACCCGCTGTGGAGGACGTGGGGTCGCGTCCACACCGACAGGACCCGCTGTGGAGGAGGTGGGGCCGCGTCCACACCGACAGGACTCCTGCGTTCTCAGGACCCGCCGCGGGAGGAGAAGGTGAGGAGAAGCCGCCCCGGCGGGGACTGGCGAGGGGGCGCGCGGTCTCGGGACCCCACGGAGGAAGCGCGCGCCGTGCGGACACCGGGGTTTCCGTGGCCTCCCGCGGGGCTGGAGCGGGGCTGTGGGGTCCCCCTCTCTGGGCTCGGACGCCCCCCGCCCCGCGGCTGTGTCCGCGCCCCCCGGACTCGGTTCCTGGGGCTCCTCAGACGGTCTGCGGTCCGGGAGCGGCCGTGGGCGTCGGGGCTCGTGCTCCCCCGCCCGGCCCCGCGGGTCCCCCCGCGTCCACACCCGCCGCAGGGCTGGGCCGGAGTCGGAGCGTGCGGAGCGACGGCGGACTGCGTGGACGGCTGTGCGGACAGCGGGTGTTTCCCGGCGCCGGTGCGTCTCCCTCCGGGTCTGTCGTGAGCGTCGCGCGGCGTCGGACGGCAGCTCCGTCCCCTCCCGGGTTCGGGGCTCCTCGTGTCTGGTTCTTGCGGCCGAGGCTGCTCCGAGGTTCTCTCCGACGGTCGCTCCGAGCCCGCGGAGACGCGGGGGGGTCGCGGACGCTGAGGCGCTCCCGCGGGCTTCGTGAGCTGCGCGCTCGTCGCCTCACGCTCCGGCCCCGGTTCCGGCCGCGGCTCGGCGGGCGCGTCTGGGAGGCGGAGGGCGGCGTCCGGGGAGCGAGCCACGCCCCCCGCCGGCCGCGCCGGGAGCCGGGAGACGACCGCGACTTCGCGGAGGAGGCGGCGGCCGGCAGCGGCCGGGAAGGCGGGTCCCCTGGAGGACGACGGGCCGGGCTCCGGGTGACGGGGGACCCTCGCCGGCGGCGGGGACGGCGACTTCCTGTGGGACGGGAACCTCCGGCTTCCCCTGCGGGGCCGGGACGCAGGCGGCTTTCCCGCGGCGGCGTCTGACGCGGGTCGGGGACGGACGGTCGCTCCCGGGACGGACGCTGAGGGGCGCCGCCCCCCTCGCCCCCCCACCCCCCGGGCGGCGCTCCGGCCGCTGTGCTGAGGCTCCCGCCCGCGCCGGCGCAGTCCGAGCCCGGCTGCAGGGGCGCGCGGGAAACGGGAACCAACTCCCGCCGCTTCCCGCAGCCGAGACCCGGCCGGGTTCAACCCTCCCGCGCGTCTCTTGCAGGCGTGTGGCCTCGTGCAAGGGCGAGCGGCCGCTCGGTGCTGGGCGAGCGGGAGCTGGGAGGGCTTGGCCTCCATCCCGAAGTCTCCTGTCCTCCTGCGGCTGTGACGGGCTGGAACGCGGCTGTTTGGAACAGTCCTTAGCTCTGCGGTGACTCCAAAGTGCCGTCACCTTGTCGCCGCAGCGCAAATCCGCTCCGTCTCCGCCCTCGGACTCCGCGGCCGTCGGGTCTTTACCACGTGTGCCGCTCCCCACACGGTGCCCCAGTGCGTTTGACCCCGAACAGGGACAACGTCCCGTGGACACAACATAACGTGGGCTGCGGAGACAGTCACAGGTTCCACCTTACAGAAGAGCGCTCGGGCCCGCTTCAGCTGTCCCCCCGCGCGGCGGGCTGGACCGTCTTTCTCCGTTCTCCAGGCTGCTGCTTCTGGTTAGGGGGAGGGTTAGGCATTAGAGGATAGGAGTTAAGATTACGGTTTAGGGTTTAGGATTAGGGTTAGTTTAGGGATAAGGTGGAGGTTAGGCTCAGAGTTTGAGTTCAGGGGATCGATGAAAGTGGGGGTTTTCTGGGATGGGACCAGCTTTGCCTTCAGATTTCTCCAGCTCTGAAAGCTTTCTGGTGTTCCAAACGGCACAGTTTTCTTCTGTGTTGCGGGCTGAGTCCCCTGGTGTTGCTCAGGTGTCCGAAATCCCTGGGGCTTTACAGGCAGGCCCTCGGGGACAGACTTTCAGAACCCAACCGACTCTGAGTGTTAGGGCGCAGGGCATGGCGGGACCAAACTAAAGGTGCATCGGGGAGGTTCATGGTGGAGGTGGGTTTGAGAGCGTGGGTCAAGGTGAGTATCAGGGTCCAGATTTGTGTCCAGGGTTCCACAGGTATACATGCAGATTTCTCCTACTCTGAATCCTTTCCAGAGTTCCAGTGGACACCGGTTCCTTCTGGGTGGCAGGCGAGTCCTCTGGTATTGCTCCGGTGTCTCCAACCTATAGGGTGTGGGTGCCAGGCTTCTGGGACAGAACCCTGAAAACCAGACGTAGGGTTAGGGTCTAGGGGAATATCAGGCATGACCTCCACTCTGTTTTGATCCTTACTGAGGGCTGAGTTGACAAAGAATGTAAGGTTGAGTATCATTCTCTGGGTTTGTGTCCAGTGGGCCGCGGAACATGGGGACGGCCTCAGGTGGGCATGCAGATTTCTCCAGCACTGAATCCTTTCTGGTGTTCCAAAAGGCGGTTTCCTTCTAAGAAGCAGCCTGAGTCCTCTGGTATTATTCAGGTATCCCCAATTCTTGCCCTTTGGAGAATGGCCCCTGGGAATGGACCTCACGGAACCCAGTGAGGGGTTAGGTTTAGGGCCCAGAGGCATCGCAGGAACAATCTAAAGGCACATTGGAGAGTTTTCCAGAAGCTGAGTTGACGTGATGGGTCAGAGTGAGTGTCTGACTCTGGCTGGTGTCCGGGGGTTGACTCAATGTGGGTGTGGGATCAGCTGGGCATACAGAGTTCTGTTCATCCTATCCATAGTTCCAGATGGCAGTGTTTCTTTCTGGGGGGCAGTCTGATTCCTCCACTATGGCTCCGGTGTCCCCAATCTGAAGGGCTGTGTGCCAGGCCTCTGGGGACAGAACCCTCTGAATCGAACCTACAGTTAAGGTTACGACCTAGTGGCATGACAGGTCCAGACTGCCAGTGCTCATTCCATCTTTCCCGGAGGCTGAGTGGAGGGCCTGGCTCAGGGTGAGTGTCAAGCTCTGGGTTTGGGTACAGGGGCCCGCTGTATGTTGGGGTGGCCAGAGGTGGGCATGCAGACTTCTGTTACTCAGAAAGCTTTTGAGAGTTCCAAATGGAGCAGTATCCTTCTGGGGGGCTGGCTGAGATCACTGATATTCCTCAAGTGCCCCCAATCCTTGGCTCTTTAGGTCTAAGCTCTTGAAGACAGACCCCTCAGAAACCAACCTAGGGTTAGGTTTAGGGACTAGGAGTACGGCAGGCCAATCTCCCAGGTTTGATTGGACCTTTATGGAGGTAAATGGCCTTGGCCACTCACTACCCCGTTGTATGAATTTCCTATTGCCTTGATGACAAATTATGACAAACATAGTAGTTTAAAACAATGCACATTTACTGTCTTATAGTTCTGAAGGCCAAAAGTCCGAATTGGGTTTCATTTGGCTAAAATCAAGGTGTCAGCAGAGCTGGATTCCTTCTAGAGGCTCTAGGACAGAATCTGTTCCCTTGCATCTTCCAGCTTTTAAAGAAACTGCCATCATGTCTTGGCTCAGGCTCCTTCCTCCATCTTCAAAGCCAGCAGCCTCACTCTGTCTCTGACTTTCTTATGTTCTCTTTATAAGAATCCTTGGGATAATGACCCACTGGAATAACCGAGAACAAGCCCTCCATTTAAAAATCCAAAGTCCTCTTTGTCATGTAAGTTAGTATAGTCATAGTTCTGAGGATTAGGAATGGACATCTTTGGGGGGGCTGTTATTCTGCCTTTCATACTCCTGTAACAGAGAATCCAAAGGGGTGGAAAATTCATCAATAGATCTAAAGAGTGATCCTAACAGAGAAGAGAACAACAGCATATAGAAAGTAGAAGCAGTCATGATTTGGTTATAGTCCCCAGACTTGGCCTGCTTGTTGCTGGTTCACAGAGCTTCCACGGACACACAAAATGCTTTGTGTGTATTTACTGTTCACCATCCCCTTCAACATGACTGAACTGCTCACTGCTGGAGGAAAAACCAGAGCTGGACATAGAGTGGAAAGAAAAGATTTTATTTAGAAAAACTATTTCAGTAAGAGAAAGGCTGACTACAACAAGGACGTGTGGAGATTTATAGCTAAGGTAGTTTTGTTTTACTTCCATTCTGTGCCTTTGTACAAATTGTTTCTTCTCTCCTTTGTATACCATATGCTTTTGCCAGTTCATAGCTACCACGTGTTCAAGACCTGGCTTAAAGCCAGCTCTTCCTACAGGACTTTTCTACTGAGTCCAGGCCACTGTCATCGCTTTTTACCCACACAAATCTGTAATTGCCAGACAATCGAATCATTAATTATCATTGCCAATCATCAAACTGTTACTGAGTACTTGGTCTGTGAGAGGCTGTACTGTGTCCTGGGAGGTTGGGGAAAGCTTTGCAGGGCAGGTGGGATCTAAGCAGGGTCTTGAAGGCTGTGTTTTCCTTAAAGACGTGGAAAAGAGGGGGAAATAAAATTATGTGTGATATTGAAAAGTTCAATTCCTACTCTTCCTGTTACTGGTAATCTTGAGAAAAACCATTTAATCTCATTAGGGATCAAGTTCCTCTTATGTAAGACGGGGATAATAAAATCTATGCTTGGAAGGTTATGAGAATTAACGTGGAAGGCTCAGAGATTGGTTAGAACTCTTTTGGTTACGCGAGATATTAGCATAGTTAACCAGGTTGCAACATGTAACATTTTCAGTGGTTAGCACATGGCTTCCATTTGGGCTCCCTTCTGTAGGGGAGCACAGTTGAGTGTCTGCTGTCCTAGTCACTATAGATTGCTCAGTAATTCACTGGTTTCCCAAGGAGGAGGAGAACTGAATTGTTTCTACCTCCCCTGTGTACGTTTCACTGTTTTAAGTCTGTGCTTTGATTTAGTGTTGCCTTTTCTACCTGGAATGCATAGTCTTTCCAAGCTGAGCCTGGCCAGCTCTCATGGCCCCAGGAAGGGGCAGCAGAGGCATCACACTAGGACGTCACCTTGGCCCCTTTTGGCCACCTTGAGTGTCTCAGGTTCCCCTTGTCTCTGGGCATCACTCTCTCATTGCACAATTATCACACTGTGCTACAAGGACCTGCCTCTCTCACAGGACTCCCCAGCCCTGCAAGCTGGCACATAGCGCT